AAATATACTGCAGTGCAGTCCAGAGTCAGTGTCTCCCTTTAAATTATTTGAAATATTATAAAAATTACTCTGTGGCTAATAGAGGTACCCTTTCCTGTCAAAAGGGAAAGCTTAAGTTATTGTCAATGACGTTTGATTAAATATTTGCTAATCAAATTTATTTTTCATTAATGGATGGATTTGTTAGTCTCTGCGTCTCAGTGGTAGCCTCAAGAACTCAGCACTAGAAAATCTTTGATTATCCTTGTACAGATTTATAAATATTTTAGTGATCTAATCAAAGTAAAGGAACAATGGAATATGATTTAGGTAAGTGGTATAAAAAGAGCTAGTGAACAGCCAGTCTATCTTTGCACAATCTATTTTTGAGTAATTTTGAATAAGAACGAATTCCTTAATTTCAGTCTGTTTGGAAATAATTTATGAACAGAATAAGGACAGACATTCTTGAATATGTTATTTTTTGGAAGTTGTTTCCCCAGTTCTAATAAATGTTAAAAATAAAAGTCGTTAGAAAATATATCCCCATTTGAGCCTGGATTTCTCTCTGAGAAGAATCTGACACAATCTGGAAGCTCAATTTTTTCTTGTTTTTAGAGGAATTGGGGCAACTGAAAGTGAAGAATGACAGAGGCTTTATACTGTTCTATACTAAGAACATAATACTATTATATATATATAAATTACATATTGTTTACATCTTATAATAATAGCTCTATACTACCATTCTATACTCACTTTTTTTTTAAATTGAATGTTGGAAAGAGGAACAGAAGACTTGATGATATACTTCAATTACCACTTACTTGTTTCAACATAATATATGCTTTAGTTGATGTTACTTGCACTTTAGTTTTTTATGATAATTGCCTACTTACCCTGTTCTTGTCAGCTAATCAGGAGTAATTATTACATCTCTAATTGACCAACAATAACTACTGTATCTTGTTTTGTTAATTAAATGCTTGTTTAGGAGACTATTTGCCGCAGTAACTTTTTCTTTCTTGGCGAGCAAGTCAACGTAACTTTATTCTTATTCTCCCTGTATAAGGCAGTGCATGCAAAGCTCCTAAGAAGATTATGTCTAACACCTTATATCTGCCATAAAAGGGCTCAGCTCAAGCTTATGTTATTGTTAAACGTCTTGTAAAAAGAATCTGCAACAAAGTTTCAGTTACGATATGGAAAGCGTTCCAGCACGGGAAAAGCTCGAGAAAATGAGGTGATTTTCCCCATAGATAATATGTTTGGATTTTATTTTGGGCTAACTCCCAGCTTACACAGGCTGTACTGAGATCCCAAAGAAAACATCCTATTGTCGAAGTCACGGCTCTTTGTTCGTAACGCAGAGGGGACAATTACCAGGAGCCAGCAGTGTCCTCGGGGTGTCAGTCATCTGAGAAGCTGGGCTGGAGCAGAGGAGGGAAGCAGGAGAACCCGGGGCTGTTATTCCAGCCCTCGAGCTCTGGAGCTGCCCCGTGCGGGGAGGTCGGAGCGGCAGTAACGCACCATGGTCTTTGGGGAGATGGTCTGCAGTTGCTCACGGAGGGGAGGGAGCCTTCATGCTCAGCCAGACAACAGGATTTCACGCCCAGTTACTACAGTTGCCACTTCCTACCACAGACACCACACTGCTTCGGCCTTCCTAAATCCTCAGATTTAGCAAATCTGTGTGTAGGGACGAACTAGTGAGTTCTAACCACATCTTGCTGTAATTTAGTTTGATGAGCTACACACATAACAAGTTAAAGACCCCTATAAGAAACTAGAATTCACATAGTGCTGACTCAGTAAACTGCAGAGTTTCTTTGTTTAAGTGTTTGCTCTGCGGTTAAAGGTCCACATTTGCTTCTGTTATTTTAGAGTTCCTAAAAAAGCTCACTCTGGTGTCGTTCCACAATGCAGTGCAATTTATGTAAGCTCATGAACCAATACAACGAATGCAAACTCACTCTGTTGACGAAAAAGAAGAGGTCAATAGGCGTTCCGGACTCCACAAAGCATCATCTGAGAGCTACAGAACTACAAAATAAAGTTCTTCATCTGTTCCCTCTAATCAATTATTATTAATGATGGGAAAGAGGAGGAGTGGAATGTTTACCTTAGTCTTACAATTTTTGAGAAGAAGAAAGTCTTCAATGCATCCAAGGGCTTTTTTTCAGTGAAGATGATCTTTCTGTGAAAAAGACAAGGACGTTTCTTTCTTACAGAAATTTCTACAAATAAGTGTATTACAATAGAAAATACGGCCTGAGAAACATGCTTGGCATGCAGTTGAAAAGATTTAAATCATGTGATATGTAGCATAATAAATAAAGTATTTTTTTCCAGGGAAAAAAAAAAAAAAAGCTGTTCTGAACAACCTTGGTAAAATCCGAATGTTTTTCACTCGTAATAAACTACAGGTATTGTCTGCAAGGCCACACCTTGCATAAGCAGTGACCTTCATGTCCCTGTCACCAGCCTGGGAAGCACAGGAATATACAAATACTTTTTTCTGCTATTCTGAAATAACTCTGGCAGTATTCTCTAGTTCTGACTAATTCCCCACCCGGTGAAATTACTTAGCCCTTGGGCTTTGGATGCCACGTTTTAATCTGTACCTTATTTGAAGGAGGGCGCCGCTTTGCAGTGGCAGGGGAGGAGGTACCACTCCCCTCCCACGCGATGCTCCCGGAGTTCAGGTTATTTCTGTCTGTGGGGGCCTCAGTGGCGCTGCGTAAGGGAGGGCAGCTCTTTATGGAAGTGAGACATGATCCTTGGAGCCTGTCCAAGCTGTAGTGGTTGTAGCCGATCGCATGCTTACAGGAGAGGGGACTGGTGTGTGGTATTTTACGTACGTCCTTGGTCTTGAACGTTTGCTACCGGATTTGAACAACTTGGCCTGTGCTTACCTGCAGAGTCAGAGGGGCACGAAGGCTGTTTCTGAAGGAAGACTTGAAAGGAAAATAAATCCAGGATCCTTCTAGTAGCAAGCGCGGAATTAAATTGGAATATTTAATAAAGCCCGTATTGCTAAATATCATATCGAGTTGGAAACAGCTGGTTTAAATATGCAGAAGCTTAAAAAAAAATATATGGGAAATTATATGTGATTGGGAGAGTACTTCAAAGTGCTTTTTGGCATAACACACAATTATTTCATACTAAGTAGGACTCAAACTACAAATGATTAAAAAAGAAACTGGAGAACATGAGCCAAAGAGGTAGCAAATCTTGATAAATAAAGCAAAGGTTCATAACGCAGTGGTTTATCAGTATGCAATAGACTAAATTCTTCCTATTTGGATTTTTTTTTTAACTTATTCAAGGAAAACCAAAGCCATTGAGGACCCGCAGCTCAAGCCAGGCTTGGTAGAACAGCTGGTGTGGCTGGTTTAGAAGGTTTTCAGTGGAAGTGGAAAGTGTTTCTAGCATTCCTGACCTGGATTTAAGAGGTTGCAGAATCTGAGAGTGAATTCCACACCAAATTAAAGGTGTGCTGAATCTAAGTGGCAGGCTTTATTCCAATTACTTGATTTTTTAAAGAAGTAGTCAGATTGGGTTAACTAGGTTTATTAATTGTGACACAAGCTCTGTAGTTTTTACAGTTCTTAAATGTTGTAAACATTTAAGTTATAATCTAAATCTACAACATTGCCCCTACCTCTACTGCTCAGCTGATTAATATCTTATTCATTGTAAGTTTTCATGCTAATAAGTGTATGTTTAAGCAGGCAATGGTGCTGAATAAAGGCAATATTAATAGATCTAATATGAATAAATACCAATTTCCCCACTTGTTCAAGTGAGAGTGGCTGATTTCAACACGGAGCTTGAAAAAGGCTCGTTTGTAAATAGGCAACTTCAGTGGAGTATTCATAAAAATTTGGATTCAAAATATCCAGAAGAGCTTGTTTTCATGCTTAAGATATCAGTACATTTGAAGCTACACAACATGCAGAGGCAGAACTGAAAAGCTGAAGGGAAAAATTGCTGTGATAGGTGAAAAGCAGCTATTTCTCATTTTATATTGAAATTAAACCATTTGGGGCCTGAGTCCTTAGGCAATTTTCTACATAGGAATCCATTTAATGCTGTTATTATTTTTCCCTCAAATTGATGAAATAAGACCATGGAAGACATTATACTTTTAAATACTCCTTTCATATGTGGAAAAGATCAGAGAAGAGCGAACTCCTCCAGATCTCATTTTCTGCTGGAGCAGAACAGAATTTCTGGCCAGATCTCACTCTGCACGAACCACAACCATCTGTTCCCAAAGCCTAATACCAACTCGTAGCCGTCTGTCCTGCAACAGGCAGGTACCAGGGTGCAGTAAAACCATCACCTTACCTGAGGGTCACCCCTGAGTACAAAGCATGCTGTCCCTGTAGAAATCATCCCACGCAGTCAAAAACAAACAAAAAAACCCCAAAACACAACCCCCAAACCTGTTAATGGAATGAAATATAAGCATGATACATTGGACAAAATCTGTATTGCGGCAAAACACTGACACGGACTTAAAATGGGATTTTGGCAAAATAAAACACTGACACGGACTTAAAATGGGATTTTCAAAAGCAGCAGCTGCCAAAACAAGCTCAGCTTGTCTTTCTGGGCTGTTTTTTACCACATCTACCTCAGACATTCCCCAAACCAGGCACGACAAAAATCAAAGCAGTTCTGTGCATTTCCAAACCAGCACCGTTTCAACCATTCCTGGAAATACATCTTGGCCCTTCATAATAAAATCTTCCTTTGACTGGCGATAGAGAGCACACCCACTGGCAGCCCGAGAGCAGTCCTAAACCCATGCACACATTCCATGTTGTTTTAAAACACATTTTCCCCAAAATATAACTGCTGGTATTTGTAATCTGGTGGAAAAAAAAAAAAACAACAAACAAGATAAAAGACACTTGAAAATTGAGATAAAGTAAAAAATAATTTTGTCATTTATTAGTTTCTTTTTCAGTTTTTCCTAGATTAAACTCTAATAAAAGAACAGAATGGTTTGAAAATGCCAAAAAAGAAAGGAATTAAATAGGAAATAAATGGATGTGACAGAGAGGTGTAGTTCATTTGTAAATTGGATAACAGCAGAGGTAGTAAATGTAACTATTATATATAATTGACTTACCGAGATCCAAGAGATGAGGCCTGAAGGGGTGCTAAGCTATTTACTCACGACTTATGGATTTATACGAATTCCTCTGTTACTCAGTCCAGTGCCCAGTTCGTTATTATCTCTCTCGAATTTGGAGGACAGCCAGTAACTTCAGTAGCAGCTATGCAAGTGGATCTAAGGGTGATGTTTGTGCAAATAAAAAGGTCATTTTCCCACATGAAAGAGAATGTTTCAACAATAGAGTATGCAGGTACATTTCTTAAGTACAGTGATATGGCATAAACTAAAAAACAAGCTAATTTAGTGTGGTGTGGAAACCAGTGTGGGTGTTACTGCTCAATTCGAGACATCCCTGGAAGAGCGCAAAAGTACAGGCGCTTTTTTGTTGATATACTTTATCCCCACCTCTTTTGCCCCATTTTTCATGGCTGAATTTTCCCAGATACTTGCCCAGAATCTGTCCCAGCCTCTCCTTACTTTGTCACTTTTCTTTGCCTCTTGTTGAGTTATACTGTGCTCTCCCTGTAGCACCACATTGCCCTCTTCCTGTTCTGAGAGGGTGGGTCTGCACCCAGTGCTCCACCTGAGGTGACACAGCTCTATGTGCAGTGCCTTACAATGCTCTCTGCTTTACTCTTTTTTTTTTTTCCTAAAAAATATTTGGGGTTTTTGACCACAGAGGAAATTAAAAATGGTTTTCATAAAACTCTTCTTTACAATACTCAAGAAGAAGATTCTCAGTGCAAGAGTTAATTCACAACCTACCATTATGTATGTTAAATTGTAATTATTTTTCTTCCTGTGTTTCCCACGCTGCATATACCAGCGTGGATCTTGAGCTGCTATTTTACCAGCCAGTCCCCGAGAGCACCTTCCGCATCTTTTTTATCATTACCCTTGCCTTCATTACCCTGAATAACTTAGCAAACCGTGTCACTTCAGTGCTCATTCTCTTTTTCAGCTCACTGATGAATACGTCCCCGTGAGACTCCACGGTGATTTTCTTCCAGCAAGAAAACTGACCATTAACTCCCCCTCCCCACACGATAAGCTGCTTCCGTGCGTGGTAAATGTGCAGAGTGGGAGGCTTCTTTTTATATACCTGCACCTCTTAAAAAATTATTCCATCTACCTTGTAATTATGTCTAATACATAAATGTTATTTTAATGATATAAATATATTCCTAGAAAGAGACTCGGCAATTATTCTTTTGAATGCGAACAATTTTTTTTTCCCTATTGGAAGTAATTTAGGTTTGCCCTCTGTCGCACCTTGACATTTTTGCTCAGCTTCTATTTTTTACGTGTGTGAATCACTGGCTTTTCAACGCAGAACTGTCACAGACTTGTATATTTTGAAAAGAAGCCAAGTTTCAGTATCATTATACTTACACATTCACCCTGAGGCATAATTGTTCTAATACACAGTTTTCATCCTGCAATTTAAAGGAGAGTTAGTGTGTCTTTTTGCCTTCCAGTACCTGTCATAGGGTTTTCAGTATGCATTGGGTAACACAAGCCCTTTCCTGTTCCCATGGAAATCAATAGTAACACTTCATACTCATTAAAATCTATCAGAGGAAAAAAAAAAAAGGGATCTAGGTAATTAGAACCCACTTCTGTTTGGTCCCTGGTTTATCTGAAATCAGGAGAACTGTCAGTCAGGGAAGTGCAGGGGGGTCTGCAACGAGCTGAAATCTCCAGACAGCAGAAATAGGGGTGAAATGCTCCGTGTCCCTCCTGGTGGGAGCCACGCTGCTCCTGTCCCCCCCCCACGGAGCACGTCACCCTGTGCCAGCGGCAGTGCCAGGCTGAAGGAAGAGTGACTCACCCGGGCGCAGAGGTGCCCCTGGGGAGCGGCGCTGCCCGAGGCACAGCCAGGAGGAGCGGGAGAGGGAGCAAGCAAACCCTGTGTGAGCAGCTGCGCCGAGTGAGAACTTCTCCTCGTCCAGCAATGGGAGACCCGGGCAAAGGTAAACCTCTGCCTGGTTTTTCTGCTCTCACATTTCACCTCAGCGTCGCTGGGCATCGTGACATCAACTCAGTGGGACGCTTTGAAGTGTACCAAGAGATCACTCTAGGAGACAGAGTAAAAGTAATAAAATTTCGCCATCCATATTCCTTTTCTTCAGGTTTCTGCGTCAGGTTTGTGTGCCCACAGAGGCCCTTCTCTCAGGGGAGATTTAAAGCAGTTTTAACTCAATTCACTGAAATAATGACACTAAGGATCTGCCAATTTAAACGGGCTGTCATCATCTCTTGGGTGGCAAAATAAAATATATTTAGTTGAAGTAAAAATAAGGAAAAATATTTTTTCATTTTCCATAAAAACACCCTGGTTTTGAAAGACAGAGAAAAGCTAGAGCTAATCACATGTGGGATTAATCAGAGATTGCTGTAAATACAAGTTTTATTAAATAAAAGGAAGAAGAATTTGCCAGATTTACCAGTAACTGAGAGACAAGAGAAAGTTGAGAATCAACCCAGTAGCAATACTGTGTGCTAGGAGGGCAGAAAGTAACATAAAAATGCAATGAGACTCAGCAAAACCAAATTCCCAACTTCTCAAAGGAATATGGTTCAAATATCGATCACATGCAGTGTATTCGGGGCCTTAAGAGACAGCCCTTGCACTAAGTGTCTTGGGATCACTGCAAGTTTTCTGGATAGTGTAATATTTTGGACTCCCACTACTGCTACCAGGAGCGAGCAGAGAGTTTAAAGCTCTGTGGGGACCCGACTACGCCGCCTTCTTGCTGTAGGCAAAGGCACAGCCCCAGCAGTGACCTGTGACAGCGCCCCAGCTCACCACACGGGTTTAGAACCCGCTTCGTTCTTGTGCTCTCCAGTGTCTTTCAATTCTGTTCAAATAAACTCGTGCAGTATTTTCTAAAAATATGAATATCCAGCTATTTCTTTAGCATATTCCTTTGATTTGTTTTCCAGAACCCAGCAAAAATATAATCTAAGTCATACTGTGTAAAAATGAAATGCAGTATTACACATACATTTCACTGAAGCAAAAAAAAAATAAAATTAAATCTTGTTTACTGTATACCTAGTGTGATTCATCTTTGACTTAACGAGTACCTAAAAAGAACAGAAGCAAGCAGGAAAGCACTAACTTGCCACTCTCTGACCCCAAACATAAGTTTTAAATACCAGCCTCGATTCTTGCAGACCTCGTTTGTTCTCAACTCTTAACCACACATTCAGTTCTAATAGTACTTACGCTTATAGTGTTCTTAATAAAATGTAGCACAAAGCACAACTTCATTCCAGATCTCTGAAGCAGAATAAAATAGCTTGTGCCAAAGATTCCTAAAGAGTGGTACGCAAGATCAATTTAATTCTTGATAAAGTGCACCGTGATTTGAAGAATTTCAGGTTTTTGGTTTTCCTTATGTTCCAGCTGTGCTTGGGATCCACGGAGCTTTCAAATTTAGAAATCGGTATTGCATGTAGAAGATGTCCTGGGAAATTTTACCATGAAAAAAGGTTGATAAAAGCCTGTAAGCATAAAATAGTGACCCAGATATCCTGAAAGAAGTGTGGTATGGACATTGTCTAGTCACTACAAATTGTGCGAAACCTACAAAGCTAATTAAAAATTCTATTCAATAGAAGAAACAGCACAACAGAGATAAGTAACTATGAATAACCATTTTATTTTTACACCCTGTTGATGCTCTGTGTACTAGCACACACTCAGTAATTAAAATATTCCAAGAACACATCTCTACCTGATGATCTCTCTTTTCCTTTCACCAGTCTTGCCCTCCAATTTTTCATCCCTTAGTTTTTTTCATAGTGATGCATTGACCCTGCAAGCTATTACTTGTCTATTTTTGAGTTTAAAAAAATCTATTTTACAAGTCTGATTTTGTACTGAAAAGGTCTCAAGTAGCAATGCACGTTATTAAAATAAGCATAATTGTATAAACAAAATGTTCTGCTTGTTCTTTAAAATGTATTACACCCATCAAATAAGTAGAGAAAAAGAGAAGAGCACATTCTTAGTGCAACTTGTACATTATCTAGTTATCATAACTTCTTTACAGCTGTAGGAGACAAGCCCCCTAACCAGCAAGAAGCACAATAAATAGCAATTGCTACCACTGATACATTTCACAGATCTTTGCTATCCTCTCAGTTGTCGAGTACATGGACCTATTTTGGTGCTCCAAGTACAGTATTAGTTTCGAGTTCTTTTTAACAAAATAGCTAAGAAAACTGACCTATTTAGAAAGCTTGCAATACTATATGGAAAGGTATTTTCAAAACACGCTTTTTTTAAAAAGGGGAGCCAAACCATCAGAAAGGCTGCCTGTATTTGTCTATAATGAAAAACAGGTCAATTTTGATAAAGCAACCGAGATTTAATAAATCTGTATAAATCCATTGGTATATATGTGCACAGCAGGTCTGATAACTAAAGAGAGTATAGACACACATGTATGTTTTCTTTCTGAACCAATTAACATACCTCACAGGTTTGGTCCTGCTAAAAGGATCAAACAATGGGATACTCTAATGAACTTTAAGATGTTTCTAAGAGATAGGACATATTACAGTGGGTTGAATAAAATCATTGCTATTACTTGCCTATCTAATAACATTGGTGGATTTGAATAAACGTTATGCAGAAATACAACAGAATGAGCTAGAAGATGGAAGATATTGAGCAAATCTGCCAGCTTTAGGCATCTATTCCCAACATATTTGTTGTTGCTCTGCTGAAGCTAACAAGGTAGAAAAGCAAAAAAAAAAAAAAATCTGCTATGATTTGACTATTACCAACCTCTTTCCTGTAACACTAATGCTACAGTAAAACAGGAACAGCCGTAAGTACAGAGTAAAAACAAATACTGCAATGTAAAGGTTTTTTATGTCAATGGAGTTTTGTCAATAATTTCGGTGAGACTCGCTTCACCAAAACCTTGCAATAGTATGTTGGAAGGCAATTCAAGTATTTCCATATGATTCCTGCTGAGTTCCAGAAGTAAAAAAAGTTTAGCTGTTTCTGAACTTTATGGAAAGTATGTTCAAAACAAGCCTACATACCATCACATGAGAAGATTCTGATTGTCAGGAGCTTTATATTCAGAAGATGAGGCAGATATGATCTACTTGACATTTCATCAGCATCTCAGCCTAAGTGCAAAGAAGGAAATTCAGTCCCAGAGTGCTTCACAGGAAAGCTTTGTATTTTATCTTATTTTTATTATTTTTATTTTAAACTAAGGTAAAGCATCTAACTTTGAAAAGACATGCAAAGTTTTAGTACAGCAAACATAAAAGAAGTGTCTTTCAGTTTTGTTTTCTTCCTAGGTAAGGGTAGGTAAATGTCAAGAAATCTCTTTAATTTTATATTCTAAAAAAGAATGATTTATGGAGAAGAGAAATCAAATTACTTACCTATAATAGGAGATTTTTGAAGGTAGTGCCCCTGTTTCCCTAAAGGTAACACTGAAAGATCTGTGATGATTCACCAGTTTGTACTACAAAGTTAGGAGGCAGAAAGTCCATTAATTATTTAACTCTATTAAGGAAAAGAAAGACAATGAAGAAAATTAAACATAGGCAACATGGAAATGAAAAGAAAAATATTCACCTTTTCCTCACCTGTCAAAAATCCCCAGAAGCTTCTAATGAGAAAAACAGGTGAGCTGAGCCTTCTGGAAGAAAAAAACTGCTAAATTCAGGGAAAGAGAGTTTTCAGAAGCATGATGCCATCGCTGCAGATTCCTGCTCTCCTGTATGCGGGGACGTTGGTTCCCAACAGAACCAGGCAGGTGTTTGCATCTTTTAGCATGTAAATGCAGGTATAAACCTGGCCATTCCCAACTGAGCCTTTCCTGTGTTTCAGTGAACTGGACAGCCCAGTACTGCAGGCTGAGGCTTCACGCTTTCAGCGTAAACACCACCTTCAGCTCACATAATTTAGCAGCTTTCTGTGCACCCCAGTGGAGCAAAATGGATTTACTAAGTACTGTCCCTTAGATTTTAGTGACCACCTGTGTATGGCAGAAGGATGTTGTGTGCACATGGCAAATGGTGTCCGATGTAAATGTGCACACACCAACCTAGAGATAAGGATCACAAACCCATAACGTAGAAATCTAAATGCCTATTTCAAAAGCACACAGCTGGGAAAGTTTAAAAGCAGAGGGAAGAGAGAAAATGTAGGTACACATCAGAAGTGAAAGAAAAGTCTCATATTTCTAATTTATTGAGCACTGAATTAGGAATTTAATATGAAAGAAAGGACTTCGAAACATTACCTCAGTTTCAACCAAATTTAGAAGGCTGTTATATTGGAAGGTCTGGTGGTATTTCTACCCTGAAGAACCTGGTGCAGTTCCTTAATTCCTGTGCATATATTGAAATTGAAATGAGGAAACAAAATCTTTATGATTTGTAGTGAAAAACTCTACAGATAAGCTTTAAGGGATCAATTCTCAGATAAAATAACTCTGTGTAAACCTGTCTCATATACACACTCTTTAACTTACATCTTTCTATCTGTAATGCATCCAACATAATGCATCTGAACATCTGCTTGAATGCTCCATAATTTTAATTGATTATCATAGATGATTAAAAGGAAGGTATAACGATCGCACATCTCGAGAGAACATGATCTGTATTTGTTTAGATCTGTAGAATTAGCTTGTCCGAAAGGAACTGTTAAAACCAGTCTTATAAAACCACAAGATCAGTTCCTAGAAGTGATAGTTAAATCAATAACATGTGCAACCTATTATTCAGGTTGACATAAGCCTTGAGTAGTCTGTCAGCAGAAGGTTATGCTATGAAACATAATTAAAGAGAGATAAAATTGATTACATATCTACGTCTTGAAACTGGAAAGGTATTTCTGATGATTATTGAAATATTGAAGTGCTTAATTTATCTTCTGTTTGCACCAAATCAGTAGAAAAATATCTTTTGCAATTTTAATGTATTACTCCTAAATTTGCTTTTATTATAAGAATGTACTTTTCCACTCTAAGAGGTGGTTATGAATAGATAACTGATGTTCTTTGAAAATACCAGTTTGAAATGTATAGTAATGAAATCAGATGAACACTTCCTAAAATATTTCTGAGCTTATTTTACTGTATCTCTAGAAGAGCTTTACACGTAAATTAAAACTGTAGAATAATCATAATTGCTACTTGTATTTTTAAGATAGTTTTCCTCTAAAGTTTACAGGACAACAAGAACAAGGCATGGATCTTGCTTTCATATGTGTCTCTGGGATGATTTGGATTATAATGGGTCCCGAATAAGAGAGAATCCCTACAGTGTTGTACATCTGACAAAGCCTTTATGTGGAGCTACGTAAGATGTCATTGTTCAAAGCCTATTTATTTTTCTTTTTGTAGAAAAGAAAGTCATTTTATTGGTCTTTATGCAGAATCGGGGTTAGATGATCTGAAATCTAGTTTCATATGTAGCTGTGAAGATACTGTGCAACTTTAAATAGGTCAGTTAACTATTGTACAGATCAGTTTGCCTTTCTGTGAAAGAAGAACAAGGTAGATAAAGACCTAATGATACAGTATAATAATATTTATATTTTCAGTGGTGTTGCAAGGCTTATTTAATTTGCCTCAGTTACACCCATGTCATGTAGCCGCTGTTACAGAACTATGATTAATCTATGTCTACAATGAAAAAACTACTGTATCTTGCTCTCTTTTTATTATACAATTTTTATAATAGTGTAACTTCAAAGATTTCAGTGCAAAGACATAGTACTCATGTGCCCTGACAGCAGAATAGAGCTCATTGTGTATCATGCCCACCTGGTGCTTCTTCTTTGTATAATTTTATTTGTTGGCCGAAGCATTGAAATGAGCAGAATGCAATCATTAGTCGGCACCATAATCAAGAATCAACTTTGCATAGGTAGTTTGTCTAATTCCATTTTCTTGAAATCTCTTTTAAACTGCCTTTTTGCTCTAAATGAAGCAAGCTTATTTTGGTGAGCCACGTTACTTCTCTCATTTCAACTGCATCCCAATGGTTAATAACACACATCACACAAGAGCAAGCAAATGTTTCCCAGTTTCTTGCTTTCCTTCCTCCATTTATACCACACTGGGAGCCAAACCTAGCGGTTGAAGAAAATAAAGCATCATGCACAAATTCTGGCAGCCAGCCAGCCTATGAATTTCAGAGCTGTCAAGGCTGCATGTTTCAATCAGTTTTGACATCTCTTGGCATTTCTCTTCAGATTCTGCTTTCTATAAATAATTCCCTTACTTGGGTGTTATTTCTAGTTCATTTCTGAAGATAGAGGAAGAATGCTTCTCACCTCTTACTATGGCTTTTCTTTGTCTTCACTTTGGAAACCTATGTGAACACGAATTAAAACTTACTTGGCATTAAAATAGTCTGATATGTTTGGATGATGGAATATATGTTGCATTTTAAATTACATTTGGAATTCTCACACTGAGATCTTGGAGAAATTACCAGCATCCCCTTTTCTTACTTGACATAATCTGAGTTTCCTCTCAGCCTTTTGAATGCGTTGGCAAATTACCAGTCTCCACCACAACAGGAGAGCCTGGGGACTGGGTTACGTACTTCCATACTTTCTCCCTTGATTCAGAGAGCAGTAAGTTATGGTGTGATTTCCTTGCACACCCATTCACCTCTACTAGTGCTGCTGTAGGTTGTAAGGTGTGCACAGACAGCAGCCACTGCTTTTCCCATACAGCTCCTTTAAGAGATCACATATTTCCCTTCAGAAGGGGAGGCCACTTTGCACCCTCACGCCTGGTATTGCATTTGACCTGAGCTCTGCAAGGCTCTTGGGGCCTCTGGAGAAAAAGCCCTCCTAGGACTTGGTGGCTAAACCTCTTCTTTTCCCCTCAGATATTTGTACCTTCCTGATTTCTTCTGCTTTCTGAACTACAGAGAGATGACAGGAATTGCTGATCCTCTAGGAAGCATTCCTTAGCACAGCTGCTTCCAACACAAGGCATATGTCAGGCCATCACCAGGCTCTTCAGCTTCCTTTTTGGGAATTGTCCTGGCCAGGAGAACATTTCAAGTCTCTCAACAAGGGGGGAAATATTCTGTGGCTTGAAGTATTCCTGAGATGTTCACCTTCCAGTCTCATTCTGCAGTAAGTGGGAATAATACCCATCCCTTTTGGTAGCCAAAAAGAATGAGATAAGAGAACTGCCCCAGGGAACCAGTAAGTGAAGGTCCTGATGAATCTTGAATAGGGAGTATTGATTTAAGCCTCTACGAGGAGTAAACTTCATAAAGATAATTAAAGGCTTTTCATGCAGTTCTCTGACCTCAGATCTTTTCTAGCAAACTTGGGGGGGTTTGCTGTTGGTTTTTTGGTTATTTTTTAAAGATTGCAGGTTTGATTGATAAAGCCACCTCGGTTATTTTCCACTCTCCAGGTAGTTTTACTTAACTAAAGAAAACTTGTAAATGGAATGAACAGATCGTGCAATAAAATGGATTTCAAGTTAAACCAAACTGAAATTTCATTGATGGAGAACCATCAACAGACCCTTATGAGGTCCATACTTTGAAAAAAGCTCTTCTGTATTTTCATCAGTAGCTCGAATTATAATATAATTACCAGCATCTCTGCCACATCTACAAAAGTTTTTAAGGATAATAACCAATTAAAAGAACCATTAAAGAATTATCAGATTGCCTGGATGCCAATAAGTAAGTTTTAATACTGAAAAATTCAGTGCAAGATAAATGTGAAGAAAACATTCAAGCTCTGACAAAAGACCCTTTCTGAGAAAACAGGATTTATAAACACTGCAGTATATAAGCTTGTCATTGCTAAAGGTATAATGAAGTCTGGGGATATACAAAAAGGGAGATTTTAACTCTGAAGAAGGTCCACCCATTGCTAATAAGATCTGTATTAAATACCTAGCATCTCTGTCCTGTTTTGAGCAATACAAACGGTTCAAAACGAGTGTGGAAAAACAAAAGGAATCCAGCAAAGAAAAAAATATATATATATCTGGATCTTATTCTCATTCTAGTGCAAGAGTAAAAGCAACTCAGCTTTTTCGTCTGGCAGAAAAGGAAGCCATCATCCTGTTTTACAGAGTCTTGGAAAAATGTTTTGAGATTAGAATAGGGACAATGTATGGAAAAAGCTTTACAACTTTGCTGAGAAAGGCACAGAAAGCTCTGAACGTTAGAAACTGACTTCCTGTGAGCCTTGCCAAGAATCCGGCATTTCTGGTTTAGCTAAGACATGTCCTAAAAGTTCATTTGAAGACCTCAACCAAAGTATCTCTGATAGAGTTGTTTCAGTAATTAATTACATGCTATGTTATAAATATACCTTATTTTTCATCTGAAACTAGATTCAACTTTCCGTCCCTAGAATTTCTTGTGAGCTAGCATGACAATTGAAAAGTCATCAAAACCCACCTTTCTTGAGTGGGTCCTAGAGGGGCATGCTTCCTAGTTTCTTTACTTTCCTGCTGAAAAGCAGATATTTTTAACTTCAGATCACTCCTGCAGCTCTTTCTT